CACTGGCATATAGGCAAGCAGGGCGAGGCAGTGCGGATCTTGGCCAATGCTGGCATATGCGGGCACGCTGCGCAGATGCAAGTGTGCTGCGCTAAGAAGAAGCAGGGCAGCGCTAGGCGGTAGGGCGCTGCCTGCTTGCAGAGCACTGGCGGTCATAGCCGGGCCGCAAGAGGGTGCAGGGGAGGTGAGGGCGAAGGTGGTACTTCGGAGGTGAAGGGCACTGTGTGGGTAACAAGGGAGAGTGTGGGGAAGATGACACATACCTGGTGATGGTGGAGGTCTGGATTGGTGTTGACATCATCACTCGCTGGTAGTCAAGTTGTCCGGCTGCTGTTCATTGCTGTAGTTGTAGGATAGGCTGTAGAGTAGATAGGGCGCTGGCGCCATTCACAAGAGAGAGCTACATTTGGGTTATGCTGTTGGTGTTGCCCTGGTGGGCATGGACATTGACTCACGATTCTTCTGTATCATTCTCAATGGGATGGTTACTCGGTTCCATGTGCTATCTGCTTTGGCTTTGAATACTTGGACTTCAGTGTGATTTTGCATTCCGGATTTCTGAGCTTCGTCCAGACTCATGTTCCTTGCAGACGGACGAACCATTTTTCCAGTAGCTGCACGTCTCCCTTTTCATCTTCCCCGACCCCTATCCAAGTAACAGAGTGTTTCGGTTTTTTTTTTTTTTTTTTTTTTTTTTCAGCATATGATAGATCTGCAATTGCAAGGAAAATGAGCAATCATGGCAAAAGCCACAACGATTCCAGATTGCAAAGTCACATTGAATGCCAGATAGTCGTGAGCTGTCCGGAAAAGCAGAAAATCCACTGAATCACACTGAAGGCGAACCAAAGCAGCGAACTCAATTGTCAACAAGAGCCCTCTCTCGCGGCCACCAACAATGTGCACAAAGTTCTTCCTCCTATCAGCGCCCAGCGCCCAGACTACTATCATACAGCTACTGTCCAGTTTGTCCTAGCCTAACAAAATGACAAAGCAACCAGTTGACGTTAGCAGCAGCAACCGAAGTACATGCAGATGTCGACCATGCAGACCTCCTCCAGGACCAGGTACGTGCGCTCACATCACTCCCCCTCTCACTCCCTCTCACGCTCTCCCTTCTCTTCCCCCACACGCTCCTCCAACCGGGGATCACTGCCTCTCCCCGCTGATCTTCCCTCGAGCCCCAGCCTCGCTATGGCCGCTGGGCTCTGTCGCTGCTTGCAAGCAGCGCCCAACACCACCTCGTGCCCGTGTGCGTGGTCATGCACCTCCGCTATTGCCAGCAGCGATCGCTCCACTTAGCAGCGCGGCCGCCTTCAATGCCAAGTGCCCGAATTTCCAGCACGCAGTCAAGCACTTTCCTATATGGACAGTTGCCTGGCCTGGAAGCTTCCGGGCTGGGTGGACCCTGTGCCCAGTAGCTTCACTTTGGGCCCTGTGATTCGCACCCAGGCCCAATTCAGATACTGGACGGGGCCCACAGCAGTTAGGCGCGCCCAACCACCCACACGTAAGCCTGAGGTGTACTTTGCTTCCTTCTGCGCAGCCAGAAGAGCCTAGAAGGCTCACGGATGTTTCTTATTCTCACGAGCAGGGCGGATGTAACCACACACACACACACACACACACACACACACACACACACACACACACACACACACACACACAGACACACACAAACACACACACACACAAACAAACAAGTGCGGCAGTGTATATTTCCATGTTCTAGCGGTAGATTCATTCGATTTTGTTCATCCTATCCATGGAAGTTCCATGAGGTCAGCCGCAAGGTTGGACTT